CTGGCTCTGATTGATGGCTGGCTGTGATTGATGGCTGGCTGTGATTGATGGCTGGCTGTGATTGATGGCTGGCTGTGATTGATGGCAGAAGGAGAAAAGGCTCTCGAAAAGACTTGGCTGCAGTTATGGAGCTGTGAGGTCGAAGGCCGCGAATTGTAGCCTACAAGAAACTGCCCACTGCGGTGTCCAGTAATGGCCATGATGTGGCGGTTTAAAATCCCTGCGTTGGACCAGAGAGAGATGGCAGTGGCTCTTACACAATGGTTTGTGTAGATTTTGGATAAACGTGCTTCTTCGCTGCTGAGGCTGTTTATTCCAAGCGGTCGTGGTTCGTACCGAACGGCATCTAAAGCCATGTTATATTTCTTCGGATACTGGAAAAACGCAGTACACTTTGGATGTACCTTCTGGAGAAACAATTCGAGGACCTTGCAGCCGTCACCTTGGTCTTCGGTGTCATACATCCTGGCTTCTTTTTCTGTGCTTTCAACGTCCTTTAGTCATCAGGGATGATTCTTTGATAATTCATGGTAACTCATGGTTGCATAATTTCTTCCAGCTGCATCGGTTTCAAACTTGAAGCTGTTCGTTGTCAAGCTTCTTTGCCATTCAAGTCCCGTCTGCAGATAAACAGGACGACATGAAACCAAACATTTCTCAACAAGGAGAGCGGTGACGATAAGGACAACACTTCGCTTGATTTCAGCTTCTGGAGGTCTTCTTCCTCGATAGCAGATTTGTGCGTGACATTTTCTTTCCCGCTTCGTTTTAGATTTTTTATTTGCGCATCTAGCTTGAGGTTTGATCTTGCAAATCTTGGTTCAGTTGAAATTTGTAGGCCTCTGCTAAATAGTAGGGCGTTTAGGCATCTTTCTATCGAATGACGAAAACCCAGTAAGGTCGATCTACAGTAATCTCCGCCCTTCATTTTTTAGTTCTCGCTTCTACACAAAATCTGCGTAGATTTTGATCAAGCTGACCTATTTTCATCGCTTCAAGCGGGGTTTGAATCTGTTTTTCTGAACACCAAGCTGAAAATAACAAAAAGAAATGGATTATCAAAATTTGGTTTGAAATGGAATTTAACTTTTCAATTTATTTTCATCTGAGTAAGCGCTTTGTAAAATCGCGAAAACAGCAAATTGGAAATGTAATTTCGTCGACATTGTCTACGCGTTAGCATTTAATTGGGTTTACACAGGAACAATTTCTAAATATTTAATAGGTCTTCAGATATTTATTTTGTTTTCTCTTTCTCGTAAAGCCTATTAATGAATTTCAACTAAGCTTTAATAGCTTTTTGTTTACTTTAAATGTTGTCACAGACCAGTTTGTGACTTCTTTCGTCTTTGTTGAGTGGCGCTCACTTACAAGCTCTTCAAGTGCCCTTTCACTTAAACTTGCGAATCTCTTTACAGGTGGCTCGGGAAAAATGCTCCCAAATAGGTCAAAGGATGGACTGTCTGTTTCATCTTCAGACCACTGTGAGGACAGTTTCGCATTTCTGGCAGAAGGGACGTCGGCCATTACTTTGGAAACAATGTCTTTCAAAACATTTCCATTGGAAACATTAGCACACACGTCAGCAGCATACACCCATGGGCAAATAGTAGATGCTGAATTAACCAATCAGAGCGCGCGGTTTGCTTTAGTTATGTTAGCGGGGCTCC